CTTTTAGGTGCACTCTGAAAACATATCTCTTCAGGGAAGCCTACCCCGCCCTTAGTTAATACTGAACTCCTCTACTCTTCCAACCACTCCATCCCCCACAGCTATTTCCTCCTGTACCACTATCCCCTCCCTCCTAGATTGTAAGCTCCAAGGAGCAGGGCCCTCCAAAACCCTTTTGTATTGAACTGTATTGTATTGTTACTGTACTGTCTCGTGTACTGTCTCCCACCATAATGTAAAGCTCTGAGCAAACTGTTGGCGCTATATATATAATAATAATAATAATTCCTTATAACTCTTTGCTCCATATGTCTCCTGTCATCCTCCAAAGGAGTAAATTGATTAGATGTCACTATATTATACCCCTGTGGAGGTGGGTTTTTTTGGGTATTGGTATTCCCTCAGCCTCTATTCCTAGGGGGGTGTCTCCTGTTTCCATCACCTCCTGGGGTATAAATTTGCTGTGAATGGGTTTTCACTTGATTGACTCAAGGTTGGTGCTTGTTATGGCTACCTCTACCTTCAGAAAGATAATCTCTATGGGGTGAATGTTGATAACCCCTCCCATGGTTGTAATTCCCAGGGAGAGATTGATAGATTCCCCCTTCACCCCCCCCCCCCCCAACCCCTAGCCTGAAGAGTGGGAGCCACTGAGATTAATATTTTGGCCCCCATTGCCTAATTGGACCCTATCACCATTAACATCACATGAGTTATTAAATCTGTCCAGTTACCACTTAAAGACAACATTATCTTTGTAATCATTGAAATCCCTATTATATTTCTTTTTCTTTTTTGCCCTTTGATCAGATTCCTCCTTTATCAAAGTGGATTTTAAGATTTCAGATTGTTTTGTATATTCCGGATGATCTTTGGTCTTTTGAGTCAATTTGGTTTTAATAGTGTTGATCTCCTCATCCAATTTTAAAAGTTTATGTTGTTTCTTGGTAATCAAAAAACCAAGAAAGCCTACACCTGCCTCAATAAAATAATCTACTGCTGGAAATACCTGGATAAACTCAACATTACCTGCAAGGGCCCCAACCATCTCATAACATCTCTATATGATGGTCTGCGCCTCCTTCAGTCCTGGAATATCAAACCTCTAGCATCTAATCATAATTCCAGTACGCAACGTACTCCACCGACACCAGTCCACCAGGAGTGGCACATGGTGAGCCACTGTAAAAAAATGTCTTCTAAGAATGGCTATATTTAAGTTTCTACATATCCTCAAAAAGGATTCCTCTTGTGTTTGAGAGTACCTGTCATCATACTCAATGCCCCCATAACATGCATAGTATGTACTGCCTGGTCCATATTGGACATTATTCTTATACTTTTCTACTTTCGTTTTGTTGATGCCATGGATTATGGCTTTTGTCTCTCTTAGTTTGGGGTGATCTCACCTTTGTTTTGTAAGTTGACCTTTCTTCTATGTAGAAACTGCAAGTACATATACAGCGACATACTAATATTACTCTTGATACAACCATTAAATCACTTGATGGACCCGTCTTATCTCTCTGACCATACAGTATACCAAGATATACAACGACCAAATACAAACCCATATATTCTCCTTTCAAATTTCTTCAATACATCGTCTTTTGGGAGCTCCATATCATCTGGAAAAGTTACCATGGGACATAAGTTTTTATCCATTAATGCAAGGGGACTTAATTATACAGCCAAATGAAGATTCATCTTGAAAGAAGTTAATTTCCATAACGTGGGCATCCTAGGTGTTCAGGAAACACATTTTCATAGAAATGCAATGCCCAAATGCTCCCACAGGAACTACCCGCACATATTTTTGGCATCCGCTCTGTCAAAGGAGAGGGGATAGCTGTATGGGGCACAATATCTTTTGAACTTAAAACCTCACTCATAGATCCAGAATGATGGTACATTATTCTAGTATGTATCATTAACAATATGCCTTTTTACGTTAAATATTGTTTATGCTCCCAACTCTCAACAAGTGAGATTTCTTTGGAAAGTCTTCAAGAAAGCTACCAAAGTGCAAGTTGGCAGCATATTGGTATGTGGAGATTTCAACTCTATTGTTGACTGTAACTTAGACACTTCCTCTCCCTCTAGGAGCCGCTCCTTCCCTTTTTGTGACCTCCTAGATAGAGAGGACCTTTATGATGTGAGGTGTCAGCATGCCACCAAACAAAATTCACATATTAATCCCCGAGACAGGAGGGAATTTCCACCTCCACTATTCAAGATATAACTTGGTCATTATAATTGTTGAGAAGGGGAAAGCCTTTGCGCCAACACATCTTTGGAGGTGTAACAATTCAATTATGCATTACTCAACTACCCAAAAAGAATTATCTAACCATCTACAGGAATATTTCCAGTTTAACAAACACCAAGGATTCCTTACTACCTGGAATGCCCATAAAGCCTTTATCCGGGGTATTTTTATCAAACTGACGGCCAAGCAAGAAAAAACTTTACACCTCTAAATTAGATACCTTTCAGTCAGAAATTAGATCCCTTGATTTACTAAATCAATCTGCTCCTTCCCCTGCTTTGACCGGGAAGTTGTCTAAACTTCATCATGACCTCAGGGATTTGCTTTGTCACCAGCATGATACCTATTTAAGCAAACTTAACAACTTGCCTTCCAGAGGATTTACCCCCCTTCCTGACCTGGCTTTTTTCTGCGATATGGTGCTGCGTTACTTTCACTGACAATAAATTAAGTTTATGTCCTTTTTTTACCCACAAATAGAGCTTTCTTTCACTGGTATTTATTCACCTGCGTTTTTTATTTTTTGCACTATAAGCAAAAAAATACCAATAATTTTGAAAAAAAAAATATATTTTTTTTTACTTTTTGCTATAAAACATATCCAATAAAATTTTTTAAAAAATCTAATTTCTTCATAAATTTAGGACAAAATGTATTCTGCTACATGTCTTTGCTAAAGAAAAAATCCCAATACATATAAATTATTTGGTTTACGTGAAAGATATAGCGTCTACAAATAGTGGTATATATACTGAAATTTTATTTTTTTTTATACTAGTAATGGCAGCAATCAGCGACTTATAGTGGGACTGTGGGACTTCGGAAGGCATCATTCTGACACTGGATGGGAACTGTCTAACTGCCCCTAACATCCCAATGACACTAATACAGTGGTCAGTGCTAATAAAAAGTATGCTGTGTGCTGTTTTACATCATTTGCATGTGTGTGTGTTTTACTAGGGAAACATGCTGCTGTGTATTTGTCGGCTGTGCAGAGAAATACACAGCAGCACGTCCTTGCTGGCAGGAGAGAGACCTCTGTTGTTTACACACAGGTCTCTCCTCTGTCGGCGATCTCCGGGTGCCAACGGGGGAATCTCTGGCTGGGACCCAGTGATTGACATCTGTAGCTGGCAATGGCAGCCCAGGTAGGGCAACACACGCCCATGCCCCCCCTACCTTGAATTGCAAATCAGGTATATATGCGTGATTTTGTACAGCCCTGCTACCCTGTAGCAGTAGTTGTACTATAGGGCAGCGGGAAAGAGGTTAATTATTATGCAAATAATAATAAAGCAGGCACATTTCTGGCTCATAGATCTAAAACTCAAAAAACAAAAACGAACATTTCCTACATCAAACTCCTCACTACAGGTACCAAATTTGAAAATCCCCAGGCAATAGCGGATGCTTTTGCTGATTCCTCCCTGTATAATTTAAAGCCCAGCTAGACTCCTTAAATGTTGACATTACTGAGGAAGAGATAGAGCTCACTATTCTATCACTTCCCAGTGGAATAACCCTAGACCCTGACAAGCTTACCAACGAATAAAACCTTCAAACATACAGTATCTTGACTCCATACCTTATCCCTGGTGTGGAACTTCGTCACTTCCACTACGAGCCAATGTAAGGGCACTTCCTTAATCTATAATATACTTCAACAGAAAACTTGTTAAATCCCAACCTATTTTAAAATGGGGAGCCGATTTGAACAGTTTTCAGCCCTCAACAATGGGTCACGGATTTCAAATACAGCGTCACACTGTATCAGCCATTGGGAACTTTCACTGAAAATAGTAGCTAGATGGTATAGAACTCTCCACCAATTATCAAAATACTAACCTACTCTATCTCCCCTCTGAAGGAGGGAATGCAGCAACCCAGATTAAATTTTTCATATATTTTGGAATTGCAAAAACCTTAATAGCTACTGGAGGAAAATGTTTAATATTACAGCAGATATTACAGGAATTCTACATCCTCCAGACACAGCATTAGCAATTAGCAATCTTACATGTAGGGATAGACCAATATCCTCCTTTTACAGAGTTGTATTCATTCACATCCTATTGGCAGCTAAATTAGTCATTTCTAGATATTGAAGGAACATACTTTCTCCTAATCCCTCAGAAGTTCTGATACTGGTTAATCTTAACTATACTATGAAAAATTAATAGCTATCAGAAATGCAACCTACCCTTCGTTTGAGAAGTGGAAACACTGGATCTCTGGGTATTCAAATTAAAATTAATGCTAACATAAATGGTATATGTAATTCATATTCTGCTGATAAACTCACTACATAGTTTATATGCTGTATGAATGCAAACTGATGCTATAGACCCTGCGTGGTCTCATCTATAAATGTTTACTACTACAGCATTTTACTTGCTAAAGAGCTATACTTGTTTCTACAACTATCTGTATTCCCAGAAGTTTTTGTCTGTATGTCTTTAAAGTTCAATAAAAAAATATGCTGGAAAAAAAAAAGCGCTTGTCCACTCAAAAACTGTTACTGCTGAGATTAAATGTGCTGCATTTGCATTACAAATAAAAAGAATTTGCATTTGAAGGACTTCCATCCCTGTGATACATTTTATATATATATTATTTATATATATATATATATATATATATATATATATATATATACATACGTACATTGATCATCAGGGCACTGATGATCAGTGTGCCCTGATGATCAATGGAGCCCCAGCAGTGCCACCTGTCAGTGCCCACCAATGCCAGCTGTCAGTGCCCACCAATGCCAGCTGTCAGTGCCCATTAATGCCACCTGCCAGTGCCCTTCAGTGCCTCATCAATGCCACATATCAGTGCCTACCAGTGCATATCAATGCCACATATCAATGCCCATCTGAGCTGCCTTTCAGTGCCACCTATCAATGCCAGTCAGTGCCACCTATCAGTGCTGCCAATCAGTGCCACCTATCAGTGCCACCTACCAGTGCCAGTCAGTACCACCTATCAGTGCGCATCAGTGCTGCCTATCAGTGCCCGTCAGTGCTGCCTATTAGTGCCGCCTAACAGTGCCAGTCAGTTCCACCTAACAGTGCCAGTCAGTGCCGCCTGTCAGTGCCAGTCAGTGCCACCTATCATTGCCACCTATCAGTGCTGCCGATCAGTGCCATACATGAGTGCTGACTTTCAGTGCCCATCAGTGATGCCCTTCAATGCCCATCATGCCACCTACTAGTGCCTCCTCATCAGTGCCCATCAGTGCCACCTATCAGTGCCCATCAGTGCACCCTATTAGTACCCATCACTGTACCCTCATTAGCGCACATCAGTGAAGGAGAAAAATCACTTATTTACAAAATTTTATAACAAAAACTAAGAAAAAACATTTTTTTTTTTCAAAATTTTCTGTTGTTTTTGGTTTGTTTAGCAAAAAATGAAAAACCCAGAGATGATTAAATATCACCACCAAAAGAAAGCTCTATCTGTCTAAAAAAAAATTATAAAAAAATTCATATGGGTACAGTGTTGCATGACCGCTCAATTGTCATTCAAAGTGCGACAGCACTGAAAGCTGAAAACTGGCCTGGCCAGGAAGGGGGTATAAGTGCCCGGTAGGCAAGTGGTTAAATAGACCATTTGCCGCCAATGCCAGTGCCGAGCATGCACGCTCCTTATTCAGTGGTGTATTTTGGTTTTGTGCTGCCCTAGGCAAGACTAAAATTGGGCACGCCCCCTGCATCTAAATTTGCCCCACCCTTTTATCTGCAAACTCCACCCCTTCATCTTTAGGCCCCACCTCTTCCTATTAGAGCTCCGCCCACTGACAACAATGGGGCACTATTCCTCCCACTGACACTAATGATGGGGCACTATTCATCCCACTGACACCAATGATGGGACACTATTCCTCCCACTGACACCAATGATGGGACACTATTCCTCCCACTGACACTAATGATGGGGCACTATTCATCCCACTAACACCAATGATGGGACACTATTCCTCCCACTGACACCAATGATGGGACACTATTCCTCCCACTGACAACAGTGATGGGGCACTATTCCTCCCACACTGACACCAATGATGGGACACTATTCCTCCCACTGACACCAATGATGGGGCACTATTCATCCCACTGACACCAATGATGGGGCACTATTCCTCCCACTGACACCAATGATGGGGCACTATTCATCCTACTGACACCAATGATGGGGCAGTATTCCTCCCACTGACAAATGATGGGCACTATTCCTCCCACTGCCAATGTGGGGCACTATTCCTCCCACTGTACCAATGAGGAAGAAGGCATGGCCTTTGAAACCCCTGTACTGAGTGTTTACCCCCATGATGGGATTCGCGCTGGCTCTCTATCTCTGAAGTCCCTTTGAGGACTACATGCCTGATGTTATTTGCGGTTTGTGAGTACCATTCTTTAATTAATAAATTTGGTTACTGAGGTAAGGCCCAAGGCTGGTGCGCTTCTTGTTTTTGTTTCACTTTGCAAGACACAGCAGTCCCCTGCCGCACCTGTACTAAATGTCCCTTCCATTGGAAGGGGGGGCGGCGGCACCACGCCACCCCCCTAAAAAGTGCCGTCCTAGGCAAATGCCTTGTTTGCCTCACGGTAAATACGCCCCTGTCCTTATTACTTAATACTTTTGCAAATGCAGGCCAATACACATCTCACAGCCTTTGCTTGGAACTATGAGCATGCACATTTCTCATATGTACTGGACTTTTTCTTACAGGTCCTATTGGGTGCTTTTACCTAACGGGGCCTGTGTGGCTCTGAGGGCTAGTTTACACTAATGTTATGATTCTGAAGAGTGATTAGTGGTTGATCTCTTATCAGAGGTCATTTGACAGTTTGTATTAACCCCTAAAAGGCTGAATGGGGCTGCATGGCATTTGCTGTGCAACTCCATTTAGTTGATTGAGTCTGATTTGGTTCACGGTACCACCCACTGAATACAACTGGGGGTTTAATTCTTGCCACAGCCAACAAGCAAGGCATTGTGGCTGCCGCAATGTGTGCACCCTTTTTCCAGCTTGGTGGGGGAGGATGCTAAGCAGTGAAAATGTGGCTCAACCATGTGTTTTTACCACCACTCCAGCCACAAGTGTAAACAAGCCCAAAGGGAAGTAGGGTAGCCTTTGGAGGGAGAGGGGAGCTTTGGTAATAATTTTCCCCCCTACCCTTTGTGTACTTACAGTTCAGACCTCCTCAGCGCAGCACCCATCCAGGAAGGAAGGTAGCTGCATCATTTTCCATCTTCTGGTCATGTGATGAGTCACATGACCAGGGTAGAGAGGAAGAAAATGTCTCTTCATCACTGTTGTCACTGAAAGGAAATGTGTCCCTGCATCGCTAGCATCACTGGAAGGAAAAATGTATCTGTTTTGATGGTGTCAGCCTAAGGAAGACTTATTTGGTGGCATGAATAGGGAAGGGGAGCTGAAAGGATAGGGGTCTGTGGGGTTCTGAGGGCTAGTTTACTAGAGTGATCCCTCCAAAGAGTGATCAGCAGTGAATCACTTTTCAAAGGATGTTTGATTAGGTTGTTTTACTCCTGCACATAGTTGCAGGGGTTTGAGGTGCAACACTAGCTAAATGAGTCATGTCTGCAGACAGTACAACCCATTGAATGAAACAGGAGGTTTAATTCTTTCTGTGGATGCAAAGCAAGCTATTGTGGTCACCCATGTCTGCTTCCTTTGCAGCCTAATGGGAAGCAGTTGGGAAGCAGTAAAAACTTGGCTGAGCTACATGTTATTACCCCCCCCCCCCAACAGTAATTGTATCTTATATAATGTGGACAAATACTTTCATAGGTAATACCCAAATTAGAGGGGCAGTGTAGTTTTCTATTGTTAAAAAGCATTCACCAAATTTATGGCTGAAAGTATTGATACCCCTCCACTTTTTCCACAACAAATCACAATCTCCTGTATAGCATAGGTTGAAACTAACACAAGTAGAATACAGTATATCCATCACTCCATAGAGCAGACACTTTTCTTTGATTTATAAGTTAAAGCATTCTTGTAAAAAGTAATACAAATATAAATGTTGTTGACATAATTATTTTTATCCCTTAGAAGTGACATTTTCAAATATGTTTTGGATTCAGTTAGTGATGTTTGTCAAGCTACCGATTCATTTTATTGGTTTCACTGAAAGAAAATACAATGAAAGTACTCACTTAGGGTTTTTTGTCATTGTGTACAGGAAAGTATCATGCTTGATCTGTTTCATGACAAATCTAAATGCTGATGCAATTTGTGGGATTCAGATATTCAGATGTATCCAAATATCTGAATCACAATTGTAACAAGTTTCAACTAATCCAAAATAAATTTTAAATGAAAACAACAAATTAATTTGTTTTCATTTGTTTAATTCAGATGACATAATGCAATAGTTTGGGCCTTTTGTTATTGTTTGAAGCATCCAAAATAATGTAACGACATAATGAATTTGGATCCATTTGTTTTTACTGTAGTAAGCGTAGTGTTAATATTCTAAGAAGATTCTTTTTGTATTTCATTTGCATTTGTGCGGCCCAACAGACAAAGTCTAATTTGGGATTGGGAAATGCATTCAACTTAATAACGTAAAGAATGACTCCATATCAACTCGGATTCATTTGTTTCATTTAGATGAGAGTGACGCATTAGTCTTTGACTCTTGGATAATCAGCTGATTCTTTTTGAATTAACATTTTCATTAATATTAAAAATGCACTATATATGAAATGGAAACATATTTCAATACATACAGTAAAGTATAATGTGAAATAAGATGATTCCTACTTACTGTGTTTGCGTTGGATGTGAATCAATCAGAATCTCTGAATCATAGCATAACAAATCAATCTGAAATGTATTTAGTTACATTTGTTACCTTCGGATGCATACAACTTCAGTCAATATCATCCAATCAGCTCATTCAATTTCTCTGTGGGTTGGACTAGCAGGGATACTAGAGAAAATTGAATATCGGCTCCATGTCCTCAAAAAAGATATTCAAGAAAGATTTCCCCTTGGGACTTTAACCACCTCCCGCCCACCATATAGTCCAATGACGGGCGCAAGGTGGTTCTCTCGTTCTGGGAGGACGTCATATGACGTCCTCCCATTCTCGCCGCGCATGCGCGGCTCACCGATCCACGGAAAGAGCCAAAGATGTCGGCTCGGTCATGTGATCAGCTGTGTCCAATCACAGCTGATCACAAGTAAACAGGGAAATGCCAGTTATTGGCATTTCTCTCATGATGAGCTGTCACCATGACAGCTCGAGAGGAGAGGAGAGCTGGTAATCGGCATTCCATGGAGGGGACATGTACACTGATCATCAGGGCACTGATGATCAGTGTGCCCTGATGATCAGTGTGGTCCCAGAAGTGCCACCTGTCAGTGTCCATTAGTGCCAGCTGTCAGTGCTGAACAGTGCCACTTGCCAGTGCCCATCAGTGCCACATCAATGCCACATACCAGTGCCTACCATTGCACATCAATGCCACATATCAGTGCCCAACTGAGCTGCCTTTCAGTATCACCCATCAGTGCAGTCAGTGCCACCTATCAAATGCCAAGCAGTGCCACATATCAGTGCTGCCAATCAGTGCCACCTATCAGTGCCAATCAGGTGCCATCTCTCAGTGGGCATAGGTGCTGCCTATCAGTGCCCATCAGTGCCGCCTATCAGTACCAGTCAGTGCCTCCTAACAGTGCCAGTCAGTGCCACCTAACAGTGCCAATCAGTGCCAGTCAGTGCCGCCCATCAGTGCCATATATGAGTGCTGCCTTTCAGTGCCCATCAGTGATGCCTGTCAATGCCCATCAGTGCCACCTACCAGTGCCTCCTCATCAGTTCCCATCAGTGCCACCTCTCAGTGTCCATCAGTGCAGCCTATCGTTGCCCATTACTGCAGCCTCATTAGTGCACATCAGTGAAGGAGAAAAATCACTTATTTACAAACATATATAACAAAAACTAAGAAAAAACATTTTTTTTTCAAAATTTTCAGGGGTTTTTGGTTTGTTTAAGAAAAAAATAAAAAACCCAGAGGTGATTAAATACCTCCAAAATAAAGCTCTATCTGTCACAAAAAAAATGA